ATGCTAAAATATTTATATATATGGTTTTGTTTTGAATTCGTTTTGCAAGAAACAAATTTGCACATGATAATGAATCTTTGACAATTTCTTTTCAAGTATCTACTTTTGAACTACTCACCACGTTCACTCACCTAACTAATTAGTTGTAGTCATATTTCTATATATCAGGCCCTTTATGCAAAGGGATCCCCATTTTTTGAAAAAAAATGGGGATTAGGTGTGGGGCTCACTCCACATTGAACTTCAACGATCCGAGCCGTCTATTTTGTAAGTCTCGATTCATAGATCATTCTTGCAAAAATTCAATTTAATCCGAAACCATTTGCCTATTTAATTATCAAGATAAAATTTCATTGTTTCTTATATAACAAAGTATTCGTTCATTTCTTTGAACCCAATTAGATGTCTTAAACATTCCGATTTGGCTAATATTTTGTAAGAATAATCTATGAGGTGCAACTTGAAAAATAGACGGTTCGGATCGTTAAAGTTCGATGTAATGTGGACCTCGCAACTAATCCCCATTTTTATAAAAAAAATGAGGATCCCTTTCCTTAAAGATTTCCTTCTATATATATGGTTAGATAGTTCTATTTCTATATATACAAATAAAATTAAATGGTCCCATGCCGTCCTTTATTCTCAACATCTCTCCAAAACAAAACATAATGCTCATGTTATTCTCAACATCTATCAACCTCAATTTCCCCCCAAGCTAAAAAAAAACTAAACTATAGTAAGTTATTCTCATTCATTATTGTTATTTAATTTGCATGTTTGTTATTATCTATTCCAAATTTTTGGTGGTATTATATTTTAAATTGTGTCAATTAATTACTTAGTCAATGGCATGTGGTTTTTAATTTTTCTATTTTTTATTTGGTCACTTACATGTGTGTTTATTGTCTCTTAATTCATTATTAAAGACTTTATATGTTTTCATCACATTTTGTTACATTTGTGTAATTATTATTTTATTGTTGGTCCACGCAGATTCTATTTGGCCTTTACACAAAGGGTTTCATATTTAAGGTAAGTTTACAAACTTATATTTATATTATTGTAATTTATACAACAACAACAAAATTTGTGTGGACCCGTGCATGTGATCTAAGAACCAAATAATACTTGCATATTAATTTTTTGAAGTAATTAAGTAATGTTGTATAATTATTCCCTAGGATAATTTTAATATGTTTAGTGTCATTTATTATTTTATTATCAAATTGGATTATTATTCATTAATATTAGGTTTTATTATTCCATATTATTTTTATAATTACTTAAATTCTTACAATCATTTTCTTTACTTCCTATTTAATTCTTTTGTAGAATAACTTTATTATTTAGGTTCTCTTATATATTCGTCACTACTATATTTTTTGGCCAAAAAATAATTGCCTAATTTCCATGAAAAATAAATATAGGTACGTTTAAGATGTCTAGTGGAGTTACTAAACGTGATCCAGCTTGGGAACATGGAGATCCAATAGACGGAAACAAACATGGCACAATTTGCAAATATTGTGGTCTGGTAATGAAGAGTGGCGGAGTGACACGACTTAAGTACCATCTTAGTGGATTAGATCTAGGAAATAATGTCCAATGATGCGATAATGTCTCCCCAAAAGTGAAGGCATTCATCACCACATTATTAAAAAAATAAAAAACACCAAAAGGAAAAGAAAACACATGAAATGGAAAATATTCAAGCTGGGCTACAAGGAGAAGTCATTGGCCAAGCGGTTGACAGTGATTATGATGACGATGAGGACAAATGTGATGATGACATGGGACCTGAAGAATGACGCAATTTCAAACAAGCATTATGTGCCTCCAAACAGTCAGCATGGGAAAGAGAACACCTTCATAAAATTCCTAATAGAGCATAAGGTTCCGGGACAAGTGGTGGTGCACAAATGAGACGGGGAGCAAGTGTTAGAGAATCACAACCAATACCAACAATAGCCTCAAGTTTATATAAGTCATCCAAAGCACGTCACAAGGGTGTTTAGAGTTATTTCACTAGAGGTAATGTGAAGGAGGGAATGGGGCATCTAATTAGCAAGTTCTTTATCTATGAAAATATCCCTGCTGAGAAGGCATCATCACATCATTTCAAAAATAAGGTATTGAGATGTCAACAGGCCGGTGTTGGAGTACAACCTCCCACTCCCTATGAGGTAAGAAACAAATATTTGGAAATGGAGTATAAAGACATTGGCTAGTATGTTAACAAGTTAAGGTTAAAGTGGGAAACTAATGGTTGCACAATCATATGTGATGGATGGACTGGCCCGACCAGATTGTTTATCATAAACTTCATGGTATACTCCAAGGGAAAGACAATTTTTTTGAAGTCCGTTGATGCTTCAGACCATATAAAGAACGACAAGTATATTTACAAATTATTGAGGGATGTAATCATGGAGGTGGGAGAGCATAATGTTGTCCAAGTCGTGACCGTCAACGATTCTGCATTTGTCAAAGCTGGAAAAAAGTTAATGAAGCATCATAATGTGTTTTGGACATCATGTGCAGCACATTGTATTGATCTCATGTTTGAGGCGATGGGGAAGAGAGAGAGTATTGCTAATGTCGTAAAAAGAGCTAGAACGATCACAAATTATATTTACAATCACGTTTGGTTGTTAGCACAGATGCGTGAATTTTGCAAAGGAGAAATTATTCGTCCAGCTACCACTCAATTCGCCACCAACTATATTGCATTAGACAGGCTACTTAAGAAAAAATGAGGGTTGAAGCAACTATTCACTAGTGACGATTTAGCCAACCACAATTTCAGCCACTCAAATGCAGGTCGTATGGTGGAAAGTATAGTGTTTGATCATGCTTTTTGGACTCAATCAGAACATGTGTGCCAAGTGTTTGAACCTCTTTACAGAGTTTTACTGATCGTTGACACAGAAGTGTATCCTACTATGGGGGCAATATATGAGTTGATGCGTGTAGTAAAGGAGGACTTGGAAAGAAAACATGGGGCAAGGTGGGTCATAAAGATAATTAATGACCGATGGTATAAAACATTATACCACAATTTGCATGCAGCAGGTATAAATTGTGTCATAATTTGTAATTCATTTCTTTAGTTGCATAAGTATTATTTCTCTTATTAGAGTATGTGTTTTTTTGAATAGCATATTATTTGAATCCTCGATACCAATACAGACCCGGTGTTGGAGATGATGGTACCCTTATACGTATTGTACATAATGTATACTCTAAATTAGACCCTGCATCACCAGCAGTTAGCCAATTTGGAAATGAGGTACACAATTACTTAAATTATAATAATTACATTGTTGGATTAAACTAACACGATTTATTGGATTCAGCTAACATGGTTTAAAGATGCAAGAAGAACTTTTGGAGAACCAACATCAGTTGCTGCTCGAACAAAAATGTCTCCTAGTGAGTGTAAACATATTTCACTATCAGTTTATAATAGAATTTGTTGGAGTTATTAGGCTTATCAACATTGTTTTTCATTATAGCTGAATGGTGGATCATGTATGGGACTGATGCACCAACTGTGAGAAAGTTAGCAATCAAAGTATTATCACAAACAGCTTCCTCATTTTATTGTGAAAGAAATTGGAGTACATTTGCACTTATACACACAAAGCAAAGAAATAGGTTGGCTCATAGTAGGTTGGAAAAATTAGTTTATTGCTACTACAACATGAAGCTTTAAATTCGAGATAAGGAAGCAAAAATAGATCATGTCGACCGTGGTGACCCACTAGATGTGTTTGATATTGTTTCTGAAGATGATGATACAGAGATTAACCAACTTTATCAATGGATTAAACCTCTTCATTTAGATAATGATGAAGGCAACCCAGCTCTAAGAATTGCTGAAGAAGCATGTAATGAAGGGATAAATGTAGAAAGAGTATTAGAGGAGGAGGTGGGATCCAGCAACACTGACTCTTTGGAAGAACTTTTGCGCCCAAGACCAAGAAACACTGGAATTCCACCTTCTTCCAATCCTACATAACCACAAGATCCTGCTGATACTAATAATAACTCTAGTACAAGATCAGGAGACTCACCTACCACCGAAGGTGGGAATGATGAAGGATATAGTGGAGCTGGAGGTAATGGTGGATATGGAAACTATGTTGGACCACCTCCCGGATTTATGAGTCCTTTCACTGGTGAGGCAAACTTCACGCATGCAACGCAGGATAAGGACCATGGCAGTAGGCAGGTAGGACCAGAAATTGGTGCCATAGGGAAGGACTATACTCGTAGAGAAAGAGGCAAGGGGACTTTGTCAAGTCAAGAAGATGACTTGTTATCTATAACTTCGGACTCTGTTGGAGTGGGAAGTAGTAACTATGGTTATACTCATAACCAACCATTTCCCTACCCTTCATATCCCATTCCTGTTGGGATGGAATCGAGCGACTCATGGAAAGAATCTGAGACTCAATCTTCAAATGATTTTGCTTATGGACAACGTCAACCAATCTCAGATCCATACGGGTGGCAATGTTAACAATTACATGCAAAACTATTTTGGGGATTTATTATTTGATAACTACTCTTCACAATACGCTTACTCTACACATAGAGATGATGAAGATAGTGAAAATTTTGAACCTCATAGGAACTCTATGTGGTACTAAGTCACTCATATATCTTACCATGCAATGTATAAAGTGTAAAATATTATACTAATTCATTATATATAAATGATTATGGTGTATTTAAACTTCTTTCATTAATTATTACATATTTTCTACACTCACAATATTTGCCGCTATAATCAACTTAAATCAATTAAATCCATCATGCAATGCATTTCCTTCTAATTTTTGGTGATAAACTAATAGATAAATGACTAAATAAATATCGTGTAAAATTTCAATAAAAATTTCCAAATTTTTCTTACGATTTCCATGATTTTTATTCAATTTTTATCTATATTAATAATACTCTGATATTCCTATCAAAATTTTCATAATTTTGATATTTTCGATATAGTGGATATTTTAGACTTTGGCCTAGATTGCGTTACTTCCAATTCTCCATGTTCCCCAATTTCGATTCCTTCCTCGCACAATCCTCACAAGCAAGCAGGCTTCTCATTCCCCAGGCAAGCTAACGGCTAATCTCTCTCTCTCTCTCTCTCTCTCTCTCTCTCTCTCTCTCTCTTCGCGATCATACTTTTCTCACTCTGTGGTGGTATTTGCAGGGAGGTTCAGGGTTCTGCGTTCAAGATCCGATCTCAGACCCCTAAAAGCACTCAAATCTGTTTGATCTCTGGGTCCATTCATGCGCTGAGGTGAAATTAAATCTCGCACAAATATGGGCATTTTGTTCACTAAAATGTTCTCTTCCCTATTTGGGAACAAGGAAGCTCGGATCCTCGTCCTCGGATTGGACAATGCTGGCAAAACCACCATTCTCTGTGCGATTTCAATCATTCTACTCTTACCCTTTTGCGTTTTTTCGATTTTGTCAAGTGGGTTTATGTTAATTTTGGCTGATTTCTGACTTGTTTTGGGGTTTTCGCAGATCGTCTCCAGATGGGGGAAGTTGTCTCCACGATTCCAAGTTGGTATTTCTTTTCGTTTCTTCGGGTTCGGTAGTTTATGGGTTGTATTTGATTTTCTTTTTCGGTTGCTCCCAAATTATGAGGAGAAGATGAAAATTTGAAGGTTTGATAGTTCATGTTGATGTAACAAGTCAATGTACTGTATAAATGGTAGCCTAGCGAGTTGTGCAGCTTATCGTGTTCTTCGAATTGGAAATCAGATTATTTTGCTGAATCAGCTCTTTTACTTGGATGCAGCCATTGGATTTAATGTTGAGACAGTGCAGTATAACAACATCAAGTTCCAAGTTTGGGATCTCGGTATGCCCATATATACCTTATTTGTATCTTCAGTTGGCACGATATGAGATATGGTACTTTGATACCATATTGTACGAGAGCAATGCCTTATTTAAGAGTTTACCTTAAGTCAGAAATTAGATGTGCTTTAATTTGATTAATTTTATATAGTCAGCATGAATTTTAGGGGGGAAACTCCTAAGGCGAAAAAGTTGGATACTTATCTTAACAACCTTATTAGGTCTTGTCATCATAACGGTTGTAATTTGAATACCTTGTGGATCAGAGAACCAGATTCATATCCAAATCAGTAGGGTTTAAACGTTTAGTCATGTTTGATTTAGATTGAACTTGTTGAGCTATTTCAAATGACTTATGAGAAGCTGATTTCAGTTTGTTGGAATCAACACACTAGTATGTAGACTGTTAAGGAGATGGTTTTGATGTGGTGCACAACTTTATATTCTGCCTTGGTGATTGATACAAGCTTGAGGTTGGTTTGTTCCTTGAATTAACCAACCAGATTGAAAGTCAGCATTGCTTGAACTCAAGTTATTCAATACTGGATTGGATCCTTTGTAACTATATTAAATGGATGCTTTTATTGTGCATGGTTTGAATGTGTTTAACTTTGCTTGTTGATTTTTGTGGCTCAAGTGGAGTTTGTGTTCAAGTACAGAATTATTTTTAATTTATTGTATGTTATTGAATTTTCTTTTAAGGAGGCAGTATACTATGATCATGATCTTTTGGCTTTAAACCTTTGCCTTTCATGACTACTGGTGCATTGTTGTAATTTTTGGGAGCAATGTTGGCGTGTATTTCCTTTTGGATAATGGAAAATAGATCTTAAAGCTCTTACATCATTTTCCACTACTTATATGAGGTTTTAATTTTTCGTATGATGGATAATAACTTTTAAAGCTCAAGTTATGGACTCATGTTAGTTTCTTGATAAAATAAGAGAAGTCACATTTTTGCGTTCTGATAAATTTGTTATTGTTTGCTTATATAGGTGGACAGACAAGTATCAGGTATTGTTTCTTTGACTAAATGGCCTTTTAATATGTTTTGATATTTAGTAAACTTTTCTGTATTTATTCCAATAGAAGTATAAGTTTTAATACTTTGCAATCTGATGTGCCGAATAAATCTTGATTAGTGCGTCTGTTTTAATATTGTTATAGTGAATCTTCATTGAGGATTAGAAGAAAAATATCATAAATGGAATATGTACTTGTGATACAAAAATTTTACATGAGTAGGATTTATTGTCAGAACCCTATATAAGCTTTGATTGATTGATGTTTCACTATAAATGTAGTTCTGTGTTTCATGACTATCAATTGGTATCCATTTACTGGGTGTTTCAATATCTCTTTGATTGTTCTGTATGCCTGAATTCATTTTGTAAATATATTTGTTTATTTTTCTTGGATTTTTTTAATGGATGCCATTTGTTTCCAAGTAAATTCATGTTGAGATATAATTTCTCAAGCCAATTTAATCTAATATAATCTAAGAGTGCTTTAGTCTCAACCACACACTGTTAGAAACTTTATGCAAAATTCGTAATTATTCTTAAACAATAGGGCTTTGGCACTGAATACGAGGGATACATGATGATAGTAGCCTTTTCTTTTTTAGCTTGAAACCAGACTAAGTTTTACGATAAAAAAGAGATGCGTATTTATTAGCATGGCAGCTTTATATAAAAATAACTTGGCTGGGTCTCCTGGATTAGCAGTATGGATAATAGTTGTAAGAGTTAGGTCAAGGTTTGGTTTTCATTTTTTCCTTTTGAACTGCTTACCCATAAAGAAAGTATCCATAGGATGTGACACTTTATGATTAGAAATTTTAATGAAATTCTTCATATGGTGCCCATCTATACAAATATGTGGTACTGAAACTCTGTTTGTTGACTTTTGACGTATGCATACTGTTGGGTCATTTGAGTATCTTTTGGTTTGTCACTCCTAGTGATTTCTAAGTTAACAATAAGCTCATTGGACTCTATGTTGTTTCATGCCACAGACCGTATTGGAGATGCTATTTTCCAAATACTCAGGCCATAATCTATGTTGTTGATTCTAGTGACACCGATAGGCTGGTAATTGCTAAGGATGAGTTTCATGCAATACTTGAGGTAACTTCTTGTTGGCATGCATTTGAATATTCAAAGTAAATTTTTGGAATATATAGTATTGGCCTTTTTGGTCATAAATTTTTGAATATTCTACCTTCCATATTGTTGTCAGTGCTTTGTTGCTGTAAATGTAAATATAAGGAAAGAGAAATTGATATAAGAATTTTTGTTACGAGGGGATATAAATAGATCTATTTGTATTTTCTGGGAATCTTAATAATAAAGTGGAAATTCTTTTTAGTACGAGAAACTTCTGTTAATGTCGAACTCTTGGCCTTGGATGTTTGTGATTCCATAATTCTACTCTCTTTTTCTGACTCCCTGGAGTTTGGCTTTTACTCATTGGTTGTGTAGGTTATTTGATAGTGATTTTATTGCTTTTGAGCCCTTTGGCAGGAGGAAGAGTTGAAAGGTGCAGTTGTTCTCATTTTTGCCAATAAGCAGGTTAGTGGAATTTCCTGTTAAATTTGCATGGTTCGGTGAAAAACTGCTGTTTAATCATTTAAATAATATGCATGTGTATGCACAATATAAAGAGACAATGTTAAAACAATAAGAAAAAGAAAAATGTCATTTGTTAGAAAACTTTGAAAGGGAAGCAGTTCTTACATTCCAAGTTCAGTTTCATATCTTTATATTGACCTTCAAATATAATTTTTCAATCTTTGTGATTCTTTTTATATTTTCATTTGTGTTATTAGGATCTTCCTGGTGCTCTTGATGATGCTGCAATAACTGAGGCTTTGGAGTTTCACAAGATAAAAAATCGCCAGTGGGCTATTTTTAAAACTTCTGCCATAAAAGGGGAAGGTCTATTTGAGGGCTTAGACTGGTATGCGTTACTAATCATCAAATTTTCTGTAGTTCCAGTTAGTAAAAGAACATTCCGTTTCAATTGTGTAATTTCTAATATAGCTAAAAATGGTGGATATGTTTTCTCTGTAGTTACATCTGTTTTACACATTTATGTATCCTAGGAATTTCCAACGGTTTTAAAACTGGATGAGATTGAGCTAACAATTTAACTGGATAAGATTGAGCTAACAATTTATCTGGGTAAGATTGAGCAAATATTTATTGCCTGTTGCCTTGACTTCCCTTGTGAAGAGCAAAGGGCGAAAGGTCAGGGAAAACTGTTGAGTTATCTGCTCAACTCACCTCAGTCCATTATTAGAAGCCACGTCCCAAAAAGCATTTGTTGGTACTTTAGTAGTCAACATGGTAGTTATAATGATAATAACCATGAGTATCATGCAGAAATCAAGCTCGTAGAACGAATTCATAATTTCAGAGTTGAATCTTCAACGATGCTAGAGTAAAATTGGCCCTACAACTGCTCAGCTGCTAGAAACAAAAACTGAGTACTAGTAGTTTTCACAATTGTAGTATACATGCATAATGTACACTAAGTACCATTGTCCCCATTAACGTCGTAGAAATTTCAAGAGTCCAGCAGCAGGTCAATAGGATCCTTTATTCATTAATTCCTTTCTGAAACTATGACTCTAAATCTGCTTCCTGCTTAATATTCATTCTGTTGGAGTTTTGCTATTGGGAATTGTTATTAGCGTTAAAGTCATCATGCACTCCTATGTCCTTTATTTTCTTACACTAGGGAGGAGTGCATGACGACTTTTATGATTGCCAATAACAGTTATTTTTCTTTTTGAACAACAAGCAGTGCTGTTGGGGGCATTTATTTCATAATATTTCGTTTTTGAATGTGCATAAATGTACTTTTAAGACTTTGTACAGTTAGAAGTGATGATGAATTTTCAAGTTCTTATAGTTTTCAATTTTTTTTTGTTTTTAACTTCAACCTTAGTTTCTGAAGTAGAGTGGAACAATACACTTGTTAATGTAGGTTGAGTAACACACTCAAGTCTGGAGGTGGCTAATTCTTTGGGTTTGGGAAATCAAAGCTTACTTCTCTGTAGCCAGGTCAGAATTTGGGAGGAACGACGTTCTGATAGAAAATTTCATTTAGGAGTGCAGTTATGTCAATTGTCCCTTGCCCATTTTTTCTGTTCCCATTTTGGAGTAAACGACTGCTATACATGTAAAAAGTTCCCATCATAGATATGATCATTTGGCTCATATTTTTGTAATTTTCATGTTCTCTGCTTTATATCAGTTATGCTAGATTTTGTTTTGCTTGTGTTTTTCTGTGGTTGGGGTAACGTAAATTTTCTAACCTTTTACGTGGAAGTTGACCAATATTGTCTATCGCCTTCGGTTGGTTTATCTGTCACTTGGTGAGCCATAACTTAGAGAAAAAACTTTTTGCGTTCTCACCAACGTATATTTTGGGGCTGTGGTTCAGAAAGTGAATTACAAGTTTCAGCGGTTGATATTTGACGTTGGAGTATTTTCATGTAGATTTTAATCCCTCCTAGTTCATCTGGTTTATCGACAGTCTTCGGTTTTTGCAAACTCATAAGATGATGCTATGCAAATATATGAACAATAAATAACCATCTGCTGCAAACAATCACAGTGATTTTAGTGAGGTTCAACGACCTTTGCTTATTTCTCATGTGATCTCTCTCGAAATGAACCATGGAGAATAACAACTCGGTTATAAGAGCTTATTGAAAACCCTTATGCTAAACACCAAAATCTTGCTGTAGATTTCTCTACCCTTGTATTCTCTCCGCGCAAATAAACAACCCTCAAAAGGAAAATTTTTGATGAACTAAGTTCATTAAGCCACATAATGCATGCATTTAACGATTAAATGGTTGAAGCACGCTTGTATGCATTTTAAAACAAAACTTAAACCATGAAATTTAAAGCTTAGTAGTGGTGGTGAACCAAGACTTAACTCAAATCATAAAGAGAGTTGAGAAACTTTATACCTTAGAATCACAGAGAGTTGAGAAATTTTATAACTTTGAATCACTAAGAGAGTTGAGAAATTTTATACATTTGAAGCACCTCTTTGCTTTGCAAAGGTTATTCACCCAAGAGAGGGCCTTCAATCCTTTGCATCCTTACTCCTTGGCTCCATGGATATGGATGGAAGAAAGTTGCTTGTTGGCTCCTTGTCTTCTTCGATTAGAATGGAAGAATAGACTCTCCAAAAGCCACCAAAGTTGTTTTGACACCAATGATGATGGAAGGAAGAAGATGAGTGGTATGAGAGGAAGGGAATGCTAGTTTGCTTCTCCCATATGTCCAGCCTTTCTTGAGAGAAAGAGAGAGCTTGTGTTCTCATATCTTTCCTCAAAGAAACCTTAAAGAGGTTAAGGTTATAAAGTTGCCTTTATACCTCTTTTCAAGTGAGTGGCAAACTTGTAGCATGGACAGTTTTGAGATTGTCTTTGGGTTAATTCCTATCTAATTTTAGTTGTCCTACAACTTAAACTCAATGCGCCTTGTGGATGAAAACCTATTTGGCCCCCAAACGCGAAACTTAATTAAAACCTAATACAAACCTTTCATATGATTACTAAACATATTAATCAATCCTTGCCATATGCAATTGAACTATTTGATTGTCCTTACTCATCGTCGTTATATCTTTCAATCATTACCTTACACGGTATGCGATAAATTAGGTTCCTTTTAGTAAGACAGTGGACGATAAGAACTCTTACTAATCGATTGTGAATTGAAACTTACTCTCAATTTTCCCTTTAGTGATTCATCTTCAGGGTTTCTATAAAAACCATGAGTGGCAACTAGCAGTATGTCACCTAGCAGTATGTCATTGTGGAACTTGACAATTGCAAAACACTTCATCGAGCACGTCATATAGGCCTTGGAGGTGCCACCCATTCGAGTCATGTTGGCAATGTAGTGGAAAAGATGAAGACTCTCGAGTGGCAAAAAGACGAAACTCCAAAATAGTCGTTTGACGAAACCACTGTCCTCAGCTAGGAAAGCTTGCGGTACACCGTGGTCAAAACCGAACTGTCGTCTCACTCGGAGAGGAGCATAAATTGCACTCCTTTCCTTACCATTCTTTCAAAGGGACGGTACCAACGAGGCTAACAACGCCAATAATTTCTCAGTGAGGGAAGAGAAATATAAATTCTCGGACAAAGGAATCAAAGTCATACTAGGATCATCACCATAAACGACATCAGTATAAAACATCACCGCACTAGAACACAGCAGCTCATCTACCATGACAATTCTACCACGGACTTTATGTGCGCATGATAAAAAGTGAATATTTATCACGGGCTTAGTGAGCACGTCGTGGATAATAATATTTTATAACGAGCAAATAATGATCCGTTATGATAAAATAATCCAATACCACGAACTTAATCAACATGTTGTAAAAATATTAAATCACCACAGACCTTCAACGTGGTATATAGTTCGTAACCACTCTGGATTCTTTTTATCTACCACGATCATTAAGTGTGGTAGAATTACACACATTATTAAAAAAAATTCAAAAAGCGGGATTACAAATTTCCCAAAATTTGAAATCTATGAAACTTACTAATATTCCCGCCCTTCTCAAAATTGAAATCCTTCTCAATTCCTATTTCTTATGGCTTCCTCTTTATTCTCTGGGCAGACTCCCACCTACCACCGACTTGAAAACTCCCCACCGGTTCTTAGCCATCTACAGATTTCCTATTCACCATTTCCCTCTCATTTACCCCTTGTTCTTTCTTCCCTTTCGTACTTGTTCTCGGAAGATTCCTTTTTCTCTCTCTCTCTTTCTAACTTCTGATTTTCATTTTTTTCCTGAGAAAACTGCAATAATGGTGAGCTTCTCAGCCCTCTGAGTTTTTACTTAACGATCTTCGTCAATATGCTAGTATCGCTCTAAATCTCCTTGCTAGTGCCCCAACTGTTGTCGTCATGAACCTCTGCTTCATTGGCTTCATCACGGCTCTTCATGTGTTCAGCAAGCTGTACCTCCACCGATCTAGTGGCGGAACTTGAGGTCTGGGTCCTGGTTCAGATCGGGTTCGGATTCGAAACTTAATTGGTAATTCAATGCTACAAATACTTTGTTTTCGCTATGCTATGTAAATTATCTCAGGGTTGATATTGTTAGGGTTTTAATTTTGTTTAAAGTTTGGATCTTGGATTGTGTTTGGATCAAAATCGTGTAATAAATATTTAACCTTTCGTTATTTTGCTTTCTGAATTTTGATATGCTATTGAATGATTGAGAATTTGATGATCCAAAAGTTTTGAATTTGTAAAATTTTAGAGATTAAAAGGAAAGCAGAATTGTGTAAACTTGGGAGATTCATGGTTACATAAACTAAGTAGACGTTTGCTAATAAGATTTGGAATTGAAAAAAGGGCATCCAAAGCAAAAGGGATTAGAGCTTTTAGAAAATAAATAGGATTGGCTTTGCAATACATTGGCTACTGATGTATGTTCAGAAAAACTGCCCTTGATCCATTTTGGGGTGAAATCTTGATAAATGTAAAGATAAGAATGGATGAATGATCAACAAAATGTGAAGAGCTTGATTGTAGCCAACAATAACTAAGCTTCTTTCCTGCCCATGATTTGGACTTTGATTAGAAGGTATTATTTAGAGGGTTTCATAAGGTTGTTACATAATGAATGCCTATTTCTGTTAATATCCTTATTAGAAGGAATCAGAAGTTTGGACTGGGGCTGAGTTTATCCATAGGGTTCAGCATTTGATACCTATTGATCCACTGCCTGTCTCAGTAGTTTAGCAAATCCTTGGGATAATCGGTACTAGGACATTTTTTTTTTTCCACATAGATGATGGACTGTTTGCCTTTTGGGAATTGACTTAATGGATGAAATTTTTTTGTATATCATGTCCTTGAGTTGAGACATGAGTTTCCTTTCTAAGATATATATTTTTTCTTGTTTTATCTCAAAGGTGGTTGGTGGTTCTAATTCATGAGGGTCCATTAGACCTGGCAGTTTTTGACACGATACGGTGACACGACACGAAAACGACACGAAAATAACGGGTTCGGGTCAACACGATAACTTATCGGGTCACTATCGGGTGACCCGTTAAGAACGGGTTCTTAACAGGTATACACGCGGGTAACACGTAGGTAACCTGTTTCGATCCGTTAAGAAAAAAATTATTTTAATAATTTTAAAGTTTAATTACTAAAAGATTTATTATAAAATACAATAGTCATATTAATATATACAATATATTCTATATTAAATATATAGTTTTGTATTATTGTTCTATATAAATTATAAAAATATAAAAAAAAGTTTTAGTCATTATTTATTTTTATTATGAGAGTTCCTTATTATCATTACTAGGATAAATTTTACATAACATATTCTTGTCCAAAATTAAAATATACTAGTATAGTATTTGTATATGCAAGAACTAAGAAGACATACATACAAGTATGAAAAATGTGAAAGAATATATAAATACTTGTGATTTATCATTATTCCTTCACGAATAGATAATTGTTACACTTATATTATCGTTTAGATTTTTAAAATCCTTCAAACCCTCATGAATAATGTTTTTTATTTGAGGGCAAAATTAATAAAATTAATAATAATTATTGTAGAAGTGTAAAAAATGTAAAAAAATATATATACAATCACTAATATATAAAAAATGTAAATACTTTAAATTAAAGATCAAATTTATTCATTACATTCTTATAGGGTCGAGGAGTGTATATGTACAAAATCATCAAAATCGGAGCTAAAATAACCGTTAAATTGTGATTTTTCGTTTATAACCGTCGAAAACGTTTGTTCCGTTACGTAATCTCTGAATGTTTGTTTTTTACAATTTTTTACGTTTGCAATCTCGGAATGTGTACAAATAAGTTTGACGGTTGGATCGTTGAAAAAAGTTTCGTAGAATGCATATTGCATCAAAACAGTAGATTAAACAAACACTTAGAGTTAATATTATACTTCTATTAAGTATAAAATAAGTTTTTGTGGTATCCACTAGTGTAAATACTTTAAATTAAAGATCAAATTTATTCATTACATTCATATAGGGTCGAGGAGTGTATCTGTAAAAAATCATCAAAATCGGAGCTAAAATAACCGTTAAATTATGATTTTTTGTTTATAACCGTTGATAACTTTTGTTCCGTTACGTAATCTCTGAATGTTTGTTTTTTACGATTTTTTACGTATGAAATCTTGGAATGTGTACAAATAAGTTTGACGGTTGGATCGTTAAAACAAGTTTCG